AAGATCGTGGAGATTAAATCCGACGAATTAAAGCCGAATCGAAAGGGAAAATCATGTAGAAAATGATAAGCGAGTAATGAGGAATTGATTTTTTAATCAACTGAAAGAAGAAACACGCGATTGATATGGTGGCGAAGGGGAGGCGCGCTGTGGAACAGATCGGTTGATCGGAAAAAAAACGGGGGGGCGCCAGCAGCGAGCACTCCCCCTCTCCCCTTAAGTCTTAACTACTATACTAGTTAATATAGTTAACACTAATGATAGTAACTAGGAAAGATTCTGGAGATATTTTGGAGATTTTTTTACTAACAGATTGAAAATATTTTAAGTTAGATTTGAAAACTTTCGATTTAAGTTTTAAATTTTATAGTCAAATTTTAAAAACTTTTAGCTCAGATTTAAAAACTTTCAACTTGATATTTGAAAACTTTCAACTCGAGAATCGAGATTCAAAAACATTCAAGTCCAGATTTGAAAAATTTGAAAACTTTCAAATCGAAATTTGAAAATTTTCAAATCGAGATTCGAAAACTTCCAAATCGAGATTTGAAAATTTTGAAAACTTTCGACTCGAGATTTGAAAACTTTCAAGTCAAGATTTAAAAACTTTCAAGTTCAGATTTGAAAATTTTCAACTCAAAATTTATAAACTTTCAAACTCAAAACATGCTAAAGATTAAAAAAAGTTAGAAAAAAGTGGGAAAGAAAAGGAAAAAAAGGTTAAAAAAGAAAAAAAAAGTGCGGAGAAGGCGCACGCGCCGGCGCAGGGTCTTCTGGGCCTGAAACGCGTGCCGCCGGCGCGCTCGCTAACTAGCATTCTCGAAAAAACAGATTGACACAAAAAAAATTGCAACAAATCGGTTTGAATCGGAAAAACCAGCGGCAAAAAAAACCAGGCTGCGTTTTTTTATTAGGTTCGGCCCGAGCGGCGGGGAGCCGGGGAGGCGCGCGGTGCATCGGTTTGGATCAGGAAAAACCACGGACATAAAAACCGGACAGAAACAACAACGGATCGGTTCGATTGGAAAAAAAACCAGCGAAAAAAAGGACGGTAAAAAGGACCCAGATTAAGAGGAAGCTTTGCAGAAAGTTTTTATTATTTTTATTTGGTAGGTATAGATATAGATTAATTGTATTGGACCATACCATTAAACCTGAGGCAGCAAGTATATATACGTTTGTGGACTAGTCCGAGCTAGCCGGCCAGTACCGTTCTCACGAGTTAATTATTTTCTTCATGGATACCATAGAAAAAACTTGGTGACACAGGGGATATCGATCGATCATCGTACGTGTTTGTTACTCCTAGTTTCTAAATGTTTAACACCGTTGACTTTTTTAAATATATTTGACCGTTCATTTTATTTAAAAACTTTTATGAAATGTGTAAAACTATATGTATACATGAAAGTATATTTAACAATAAATCAAATGATACGAAAAGAATTAATAATTACTTAAATTTTTTGAATAAGACGAACGGTCAAACATTTTTAAAAAAGTCAACGGCGTCAAATATTTTGAGATGGAGAGAATAATTCGTATCAAATTATATGTGGAGCAGAATTCAGAGGGCAAGGACGCCACATGCTGATTGTGTGAATAATGCAATGCAATAGTACATGCATCAACACGAGCTCAATTTGGTATATGTGGTGCACTATTGTTGTGAACAATTAGTTTCATGTGCCTGAAAGCACCAGCACTTCCGTTCAAAAAAAAGAAAGCACCAGCACATACTACGACGTACGTACACCTAATTAATTTACTAGCTTGACTCTATATATATAATAAAAATTCATTATAAAAAAAATAATCCCTCCAGTTTTTTTATATGACATTGGCTACTTCAAATTTATACTAGCCAACGTTATACATATATGCATGGAAGTAGTAATTTAGAAATGTGAAACTCTTTTCTTTCTTAACAAGATATATCCCTTATTTTTATATGCCATTCAGATAATTATAATTTTTTTTTGAAAAAACTAACATGATAGATCAATATGAGATATGTCGTTATTTCATAACCACATGCAAATTCAAATTCAACCTACACAAATAGGAAAAAACAACAAATTTCAGTACGAATAGTATACACTTCAGAGTTAATTTTTTTTATACTTATACAAGTTGAATTTGCATGTATGTAGAGTGATAAATCACATATTGATCTATGTTGTTGATTTTTTTTCCAAATTTTTTGATGATTTTATAGGTGGTATGCATAAAACGAGAAGATATCCCCTCGAAATGAAAATCCACCTCCCATGTGAATATCTACTACAAATATATATATATATATATATATATATATATATATATATATATATATATATATATATATATATATATATATATATATATATATGCTTGGTTGGGGCATGCCCAAGTGTCCATTTTATGATGGGAATACTCCGAATTGCTGTTTCTTTCTTGATTTAAACATCGCCCAATCATATCGCTCTCAAACTTAATTAACGGAGGAAACAAAGAGAGGTCCATCGAGATAGGTACATAGAGGAAGCTGTTTGCTAGAAGTAGACACCATCCGTCCTATGAAGAAAATTTGATATATCATAATACAATGAATTTGAATATGTTTTTATCCAGATTCATTGTATTAGGTTTAATCACATTCAATCCTACATTGTTTTTTTACTTGAATTTGAATATGTTTTTATTCCGATTCATTGTATTAGGTTTAATCACATTCAATCCTACATTGTTTTTTTACTTGAATTTGAATATGTTTTTATTCAGATTAATTGTATTAGGTTTAATCACATTCAATCCTACATTGTTTTTTTACTACGGATGAATTACTAGTCTATATCATATCCTCCTCACAAAAGTTGGGACAGGGAAGTAAAAAAGCTGTCAGTGGAATCAGAGAAATTAATTCATTAAATTAATATGCACATCTATATATTTAGAGAAAATCCAAAGAAATGTCATTGGAAGCGTTCAATTTCAAGAAATGCCATCAACAAGTACATACATGTTCCATGAAATGTTATTGTACAAGCGATTTTGTCCTAGAAATGTCACCGCCGTTAGGTTCCCATGCATCCCGCACTATTCATCCTATATCATTTAACGGAGGGTTGCTAATAGAACCCTAACAGCGATGGCATTTTATGGAACTCACACTGGTTGATGGTATTTTTTTGGAATTGGGAGCTTGTCAGTGGTATTTCTTGGATTTTCACATCCATTTAAATTCAATTTCAAGAAGAGCACGTAGTACGTTTCGCTAATTATTGAATTCAAATTTTTGGAATTGATAACTTAAGTATTTTAGGTTATTAATTAATTATAAGACGACACTCCAATACATTTAATTACAACTAGGGTGCTATCCTATATATCTATAAAGTTCATCCCCACTAAATATAGTAGTGCTAATTTTCTCTTCTCTCATAAAGCCACATCACATAAATTGTTTTTAGCCTTTGGATAATTCATCAAGGGTGTAAATTGCATCTCTTCCCTAAAAGGCACACCATACAACTCAACCGTTTATAACCTATGGATAATTGATAAAAATTAAAAAAAATAAACATATGAAAAATAATTGTATATTAAGTAAGAAAGAAAAATTTGGAACTCATATCTACTATGTTCTCACACAATTCTCCTACAGCAACGAGCGAGGTACCCATCTAGTTCATTCTAATTTTTTGAATTGTTAAATATATTGCGCAAAATATAATTAAGACTCCAAATTGACGCAGTCTTATATATATTATTTATTTATTAAAATAATAAGAAAAATAGTCCAGTTTACACATATATATATATATAGTAAATTTGTTTGGTGCTCCATGGTGCCCGGACACCATTGTTGAAATTGAGTATATACCCAATTCAAATGAGTATAAAACTTTTTCAATTACTTAGGTATTAACATTAACTACTTTACTAACTAGTTTAAAGCAAGTTTGAATTGAATTTGAACTTGTTTTTGTTAGATTTTGATTCTAGGTATATAGCATCCATACATATAATTAGTTAGGTATGTAATCATGGATTGTGAAATAAAGTTAAATTTGAGTTGTTTTGTTGATAAGTATAGGTATGAATCAAATTATTATAACTAGGTATATACTCACAATTTAAAATATTTGAAAAATTTGAGTGATTTTGTGCATTAGATACCATGGTGCCATATATATATATATATATATATATATATATGTTCGATACCCAATTAAAGTTAATTTAGTTAAGTGGAAGCTAATTAATTAAGTATCTATGTAATTTAACAGTGAAATAATTAATTGTGATACCGCCAATCAAAGATAAACAGTAAATTAATTAATGCTCTAGAAAAAAATCGTGTGATTATTATTTACAAATGAAGCAGTCGTCACATTTGTTGTTTGCAGGTGACGTAACGTGGATGTCTCTATAAGAATTGACTTGTCAAATTTGTAAGAACCACCTGACACCTGTCTAGCAACCTGCATATCGTCGTGGTCGTAGTCTAACTACGCTTGGGCCTAGTGTATACATGTAGGGAGATGGATTTTCATCCTCGGGAGGTGATATCATCTCGTTTTCTTATATGCTATTTATAGGTTATGAAAAATTATTAACATAATTAATATAAAATATATCATTTCACAAAAATACAAGACAAATACATTTTTTTACAAGTTAAAAGGAATAAAATAAATTGAAAATAGTTAACACATATTTATAATTATTTTTCTTACAATATATGTATATTATATCCGTATTAATAGACTATTATTTATATCCGTATTAATAAACTGAAAATAGTTAAATACATTTAGTGGTTAAATGTATTTATTTATTAATTAATTGAAATATTATTGATTAAAAATTAATATTAAAAATTTTGGGGAAAAAATATATTTTAGCGCGAATATTTTTCCAGGTAGCTAGACTAGCATTTTCGTAGGCGGCACATCATGCTCTCGTTCACCTAGGAAAATTGATCTTCCCAATCGGATCGGCCGGCTGCTGATTGTTTTCGCATGTCTTTGCCTACAGGTGGACTGGCCGTCCGCCTAGGAAGACCGTTTTCATCAGTGTAGAAAAATGGTGTCAAATTTTTTGAAAGAAAAATATTGATAAATGCATACGCAGTCCCTATATGGCTATATATATGGTGGTAAACTGGCATGTACACATGCTGTTGTGAGTAGTGATTAGCTAGGCGGCTATTAGCAGCAGCAACCAGTTCTTTTTGCGTATGATAGATGATGCAGAGTGCAGCTGGAGCAATGGAGCTGCTGGTGGCGTCGCAAGAAGCAGGCGGCGTTGTGGTGGTGGGCATGAACAGTGGCGACGCCGGAGAGCTGAGCTACGCCAACAACTCGGACATGCAGCGGACGATCGCTGCGGCGACGAGGAAGGAGCGGCAGGAGATGGCGGCGGCCGTTCGGCGCGGTCGGCGGCAGGCGAGAGCCATAGCCATCGCCGACCTCGGGTGCGCCACAGGGCCGAACGCGCTGCTGATGGCCGGCGACGCCGTTGAGGCCATGCTGGGCGACGCGGAGCGGCAGCAGGAGGCGGCGCCTGCAGAGTTCCACGTCTTCCTCAACGATCTCCCCAGCAACGACTTCAACAGCGTGTTCCGGCAGAAGCAGAAGCTGGTGGTGCCGAGCAATAATGCCAATAGCAGCCGGTGCCTGGTGTCGGCGTGGCCGGGGTCCTTCTACGGGCGCGTGTTCCCGGCGGATAGCCTGGACTACGTGGTGTCGTCGTCGAGCCTCCACTTCCTGTCTAGGGCACCCGCAGATGCGGCGCCCAACGAGGGGAGGATGTACGTGTCGGCGTCGTCGAGCTCGAGCTCCAGCTCCAGGGTGCTGCACGCCTACAGGGCTCAGTTCCAGGCCGACTTCCGCCTCTTCCTCTCCTGCCGCGCCGAGGAGGTCCGCCGCGGAGGCGTCCTCCTCCTCACCTTCGTGGCCAGGCGGGAGGCGGTGCCCTCGCCGCACGACTGCCACCTCTGGGACCTGCTCGCCGAGGCCGCCGCCGACGACAGGAGGCTCGTCGACTCCTTCGACGCGCCCTTCTATGGGCCCTGCCCGGAGGAGCTGAGGGAGGCCATCCGCGAGGAGGGGTCCTTCCAGGTGACGAGGATGGAGCTCTTCGAGGTGAGCCGCTCCCGCTCATGCCAATCCCAAGCAGATCTAGATCAGCTGGCGGCTCAGACAAGCAGCACCATCAGGGCGGTGGTTGAGCCTATGCTTGGACCACACTTCGGGTGGGACGCCATGGACGCCCTCTTCCGGAGGTACACCCACCTGCTCCACAATTACTACCGCCACAACAACGACCAGCTCACCAACGTCTTCCTCGCCTTGCACAAGATTTGACTTCATTCATCCCATCCTTCCTTCCTTCAACCATATATATATACCACATTCCCTACAGTATCAGTATGTATTACTGTATTTCCAAAACGTACCTACAATATATACCACGTGTCAGTTCTACGATATATATATACTACCCGGATAAAATGATAGTATCGTTTCTAAAATCGGGATACCAACTGTTTCATGTACTAGACAATATTTAAATTCAAAACTATTTAAGTGTATTTGTGTTTATGTATCTTCAAAATCAATCTTAAATAAAATTATTAGAACTAGTGAGTGGCTTTCTCTTGACAAATGTCTCTTTTCATGTACTATTCTATTTATTTAGAATGGCTATATATATTTAATATAAATATTAAATTAAACTTAAAAAAATAAAATATTATATATCCCGATACTACGATGCGATTAAACAATCCGATACTACTCACCTTCTACATGTTCAAAGTGTATAGTACAACTTCCATTCTAGCAGTATATTATATACTAGTATATATCTGTTCAAAGTGTATAGTACAACTTCTCTTCTAGATGTGATCCTCCTATCTTATTATAAATATGTTTTTATTGTGTTTGTGTTGTAATTAACATATATAAATCTGTTGTGACTGGAATGGATTTTAAACCTCTTGAGGGATAATGACTGCTTGTATACCTTGTTCTTCCTAAATCAAAGTAAAGGATTATGGGGGATCCTAGCACGCGCGTACGCACCAGCTGGACCCCGTCCCCGCATCCCTCTTTTTTCGCACTTTTTTGACGCGTTTTCTTCTCTTTTTTTCGCTTCTTCCTTTTTTTAATCTTTCGCATACCTCTTTATAAATGTAGAATTGAAAATTTTTAATTTTGACTTGAAAGTTTTTAAATTTTAGTTGAAAGTTTTCAAATTTGAGTTGAAAGTTTTTCAAATTTGAAATAAAAAGTTGAAAGTTTTTCAAATTTGACTTCAAAAAATTCAAAATTTTGAGTTGAAAGTTTTCAAATCACTAGTTGAAAGTTTTCAAATCTGAGTAGAAAGTTTTCAAATCTCGAGTTGAAAGTTTTCAAAACTCGAGTTGAAAGTTTTCAAATTTTATCTTGCAAATTTAAATTTCAAGTTGAAAATTTTCAAAGTTTGAGTTGAAAGATTTCAAAATTTGACTTGAAAGTTTAAATCTTAAGTTGAAAGTTTTCAAATCTGACTTGAATTTTTTCAATCTATTAGTAAAAAAATCTTCAAAAAAAGGACAATCTTATCTTAATTAGTGTCATTATCTAAAACTAACTTAGTTAGTTAGGCTTAACTACTCCCGTCTCTCGTGAAAACGCTCGCGACTTGCTGATCTCGCGCGTGCGCGCGAATTAGCCATCTCGACGTTTGTTACTCCTACTTGGTTCCTATACTGATTTGTATTTCGAAAAGGTTTTTTTTTGGAAGGACAAAACCTAGATATTACTGCGGAGAGAATTAAGCAGTTTGTATTAGAGGAGAAAATCGTTGTGGCTGATTTGGCCACGTCTTGCGATGCCCACAAAAATAGGAACAAATTGTGGTTCACATGGATGGTCCGCTAGTAGTATTTCTGCTTGCTTTTTGCTCATGGAAATTATTAAAGGACTAAGCAACTGGACATTTAAGGGGTGGTAACTAGCAAGCATGAAGCATGGGCTAACTCGAAGGGGCGCAGCTAATTCGCGCATAAGCGCCTCTATGTTAACTCGCGCGCACTACCACGTGGCACATACAGCGAATCCTCCCATCGCGCGATTAGCATAACGGTGATTATAGATCTAATTACGGTGCTACAGTAATTTCTCAATAAAAATAATTCATTTAAAAAATTCGAGTTGAAAGTTTTCAAATATTGACTTTAAATTTTTCAAAATACAATTTGAAAGTTTTCAAATCTGAGTTGAGAGTATTTCAATTTTGAGTTGAAAGTTTTGAATTTTGAGATGAAAATTTTGACTTTTGAGTAAAAGATCTTAAAATTTGAGTTGAAAGTTTTGAATTTTGATATCAAAGTTTTTATTTTTGAGATGAAAATTTTGAATTTTGATTTGGAAGTTTTCAAATTTTGAGTTGAATGTTTCAACAGTGAGTTGAAAGCTTTAAATTTTGAGATGAAATTTTTGAATTTTGAGTTGGAAGTTTTCAAATTTTTAGTTTAATGTTTTTCAACCGCAAGTTCAAAGTTTTTAATTTTGAGATGAAAATTTTGAATTTTGAGTTGGAAGTTTTCAAAATTTAAGTTGAATATTTTTCAACCGAAGTTGAAAGTTTTTAATTTTTGAGTTAAATGTTTTTAAATTTCAGGTTAACAATTTTATTTTTTTTGGGTATGACTTCTTTTTCTAGAGAGTTTTAAATTTTATGTATAGATTTTTCAAATTTGTAGTTGAAAAGGAAATAACCTTTATGTGAAAAAGAAAAAAGAATGATTCAGATCGTGATTATCAAAATCTAATTACGCTAGACATGATCTTATCTGATATCATGCGTACGTGCGCGTGTTTCTACCTTCCCGGTGTTGCGTGGTAGGCCGGGCCGAAACAGCTGTGTGAGGTCGTAGGCCACAAAACGCGCGTGACTTAGCTTGCTAACGCGTTTGCACGACACAGCGACATCTATTGCGGCAAAAAATCAAGTTCGAAATCAAACAACACTTTGAGAAAAAAAAGAGAAACTAACATTTATTTAAAAAAAATCATAATTATTTGGGTGGTATTTCAATAAATTAACGAGGATCAGAATAGTTCCCCTTCCTATCAGTTGTTGTTTTTCCTTTTACCTTTTGTCAAAGTGTATACTTTATCCGTTATAAATATTACTTATATTTAAAAAAACATATATAGGAATAATGAAATATTACTATGAAATCCGTCATTAAATAACAGGTTCGTATAATTAAAGGAGGCTCTATCCCCGATATGGAATAAGTTCATCTGAGGTCCCTTAACTTGTTAACGAATCTGATTTTCGTCCTTCAACCAATAAACCAGATACAACGGGTCCCTCAACTGTCAAAACCAGTGCAGATTAGGTCTCTCGGCGGTTTTGGCTGACATGACGTTTATGTGGATAATTTGACTCAGTCTTCATCTGACGTGGCATTAACGTGGCGCTTACGCGCCAATTTGATATTGAAAAATAATAAACCCCGTGGGACCCACATGTCAGTTTCACACATAAATTAATTAAAAATGATGGGGCCCACGTGGGCCCCACATGTCATTCCCACTCCTCTTCTTCTTCCTCCTCTCTCCCCATCCCCTCTCCTCGCATGACGGAGAGTCAGCTACTGGGGTGAATCGGCACCACCACCACCACGCGGCTGCGAGAAAGCGGCGGCGGCGGCGGCGCTGGTATTCCCGTGCGGCGGCGTCGGCGACGAGCCCAACGTGTCGCGGCGAGGCCCACCAAGCGTCGCACCACGGGAATACCAGCCGACGCGCCCCTCGCGCCCGCGCCCCCGGGACGGCAGCCTCCGAGCGCGCGCCACCTCGATATATACCCCACTACCCATGCCGCCACCGTTTCACCGCTCTCTCTCTCTCTCTCTCTCTCTCTCTCTCTCTCTCTCTCTCTCTCTCTCTCTCTCTCTCTCTCTCTCTCTCTCTCTCCACCTTGGTTAACCTGAGCCGCCGGGTGCTTCTGCATCGCTTGCCGTACTCAATCATTCCTGCGATGGCATCTCGAGGCGCCGTGTTGCTCGCCTTGGTCGCGGCGGTGGCCCTGATGTCCGCGTCGGTGGCGTCGGCGCAGGTGGACGGAGGCGTGCCGCCGGCGCCGGCACGGATCACGAGCGCGGCCGCGGGGGGCGCGGCGTCGGCGGCGCTGGCCGTGGCGTGCTATGAATAAAGATGGATCATGTGTCTCGTCTCATTCGTCACTAATTTCTGTGTTTCAGATCTTAGCTATTAACGTCGACACAATTCCCTTTTTGTGTTTCAAATCAGGCTCTCGATTTCGAACACAATTCGATTTCACGTCAGTGATGCACTGATGCCTCGTAACGCGGCGGATGAGTTCCCATTCCGTCTGTCCCGAAGGCGCTGCGAGCGCCGAGCGGTGGGTCCTGGGACGCTGCGGCGCTGCCGTTCGGGTCGTACCTCACGCCGGCGACGACGAGAACGACAGCGGCGGGTTGTACCGCACACCGGGTCCGGCTACTCGTCGGGATCGCCGCCGACGCCGCCGCACCGGAATACCAGCGCCGCCTCCGCCTCCGCCGCCGCCGCCTTCTCGCCGTCGTGTGGTGGTGGTGGTGCCGATTCCCCCGGGCCGATGACTCTCCGTCGGGCCTGCAAAGAGGAAAGGGGAGATGGGGAGAGAGGAGGAAAAACAAGAGTGGGAATGACATATGGGGTCCACGTGGGCCCCATCATTTTTTATTAATTTGGGTGTGAAACTGACATGTGGGTCGCATGGAGTTTATTAGGGCGTTCCCAACCCAATAACTAGGATAGTGTCCATAGCATTAAATAAGTTGCCACCTATGACAAAAAATTGATGTGGCAAGTGAATAAATGAGAAAAGAAAAGAAAACCATGTCTTGCATGAGACATGGTTTCTATACAACATCCAAGACATCATGTGAGATAAGTAGCATTAAATTGAAGTATGGAATAGTGGTGTTTACATTGGAAGAGTAGTGTCTAGTACTAGTTTCTTGATGATATGGAGTTTATGGAAACCATGTCTAGTGTTATGGGTTGGGACTGCCCTTATTTTTCCGGATCGACTTGCCACGTAAGCGCCATGTCAGATAAAGACCGCGTCCAATTAACCACGTAAGTGCCACGTTAGACAAAACCGCCGAGGAACCTAATCTGTACTGGTTTTGATAGCTGAGGGACCTATTGTATCTGGTTTTTTCGGTTGAAGGACGAAAATCGGATTCGTTGATAAGTTAAGGGACCTCCGATGAACTTATTCCCCCACATTGTGGTGGGATACAAAATAAACATTTTCCATGAATTTTGACCGTGTTAATATCTATTGGGCCAAACGGAGACCCCAAGCCTTAGCCCATTTCTACGTCCGCCGCCCGTATGTGGACGCATCACGTCTGATCTACTCTCTGTTGTTCCATTTTAAATATAGGGTCCGTTTAGATTGGTACCAAAATAAACCTTTGATAAATTGGTAACATTGTCAAAATTTTAATAGGATTATCTTAATAATGTTGTCAAAATTCTATACATATTGCCAATATTTGGTAACAAACTAAACGTAGCCATATAATTATCAATTTTACCAAATAATGGTATGATTGAAAATGTCATCAATCTGAACAGGCCCATAGTTGTATGTTTATGTGTCTAATATTTCATCATTCGTCTTATTTGAAGAATTTATATAAAAATAGAAAAAGTCACGCATAAAACACTATTCAGGTTTTATATGCTAATAACAATAAAAATATTCATCATATAAAAATAAATGATATGGACGATCAAGTATTAGATATAAAAAGTTATAAGCACCGCACAAAATGAGATGAAGAGATGAGGTAGCACGAGGCATCTTCTTGACATCCGTCAATCCTCTTTTTCCTCCGACAGGTTGAGGTGGAAGCCTGCCTGCCTACCATCGACATTGGCCATGCATGGCTGCTGCGGCAAGCTCAAGTCTATGTAAAAACATTTTAGCACAAAATAAATATATTTAA